AGTTAGTAGCATCAAAATGATATTTACATAATAACTTAATAAAAATTTTATAGTCATATATTTAATACTTAAAAAAATTGTATTTTATACTTACGACCTAATAAATAATTAATCATTATAACTAATTAGAATATAAACTATTATAAAAATATTTATAAAAATATACTTACAATCTATTTGTTAATTAAATATAATAATAATTAGCGTATTTACTGTATATCAAAGAAATTATGTATCAAAGATTTATTTTACTTACCACCTAAATTTAAAATTAGTATAAAACTATTAACAAATCGCAAAATTAACAAGATTATCTAAATTTTATACTTACAATCTAAAAAATAATAAAATTATTAAATTTGATATTATGTAAAACAAATTATAAAATTTATACTTACTGCCTAATAATAAAAAATACTTATATAAGCAAATATACATATTTATAAAATTTTTATATGAACAAACGATATACTTACAATCTAATTGTTTAGTAAAATTTTATACAATAATTTTAATATTAATACAGTATTAAAGTAAATCATTATAAACATTGTATAAAAATAAATTATACTTACTTTCTAATTATTTATAAACAATAAAAAATATATATTAGTTGTAGCAAATTAATAAAATACTTATAAATTTAAATTTACCTCCTAAAAATTTAATAAAATACAAATTTAATTAATTAAATACAATATTCATTAATTAATTAATGTTTTAAATATTAAACTTACCTCTAGCAGCTTTAATAAAAAGATTTGCGTATATACATATTAATAAATTATAAAAGCTATTTATGCAAAATAAATTATCATAATCTCAGTTTAAAATCTCAAAACTAAAACTTACCAACTAACAATTAAAAACAAATATTATTAATTACAAAGTTAATTTAAGATTTTAGTTTAAAATAATAAATTTTTAATAATTAGAAGAATAAACTTACCCCCTAAAAGTATAGTTACAAAACTTTATTTGAAATTCTAAGTTGAAAATAAATCACAAAGTATTTGAATACTTACAAGCTATACAAATTAATTTATAAATATACAAATTAAATTATAATTAGTAAATTGCAATTTATACATTATAATTTAACAAATAGTATACCGTTATTGAATGCTACCCATTAATAACTTATCTGGCTTCAAATTTAATACATCATCTCTGACACAAGGGTTGACACATTAAATTTAAAACCAATCCAAATAATGGATTATTTTTACAAATAACATCCGTTATTGGCTTTTTCGCATTCAATAACTATATAATAAAGATTTATACTTACAGCCTAATGATTTAATATATAGCAAAAATAGCCGGTAAGTTTTAAGAATTATTATTTAAATATTAAAGCTTTATACTCACCCGCTAATCATTTATTTAAAATATTAATAATATAAATTAACCATCAAACAAATATACATGTATTAAAGTTTATACTCACGGCCTAATAATTTAATTATAAAATTATTAATTAATGTTTAAGAATTAAATTTAATCATTACAATAACGCTTTAACGTTTATATGTACCGGCTAATAATTTTTTAATAAAATATTAATTGATAGGTTTAAGATTAAAATTTAACGATGTATAATTAATATTGAAGTTAATACTTACTTTCTGATAATTGATAATACATGTAAAATATTAATAACTTTTAAAAATCATGATTTAATAATTTGCGATAAATTATACTTACTAACTAATAATGTATAATTAAAATGCCAATCAATAATGTTTAAGAATAAAAATTTAAAATAAATATTAAATTTTATATTTACTTTCTAATAATTCATAATAAAATGTTATTAATTTTAAGAGTTATTATGTCTTTAACATTTAAAACAAATAATAAGTTTAATATATACTTTCTAAAAATTAATAAATAATAATAATTAGCAAGATTTAAAAAATGTAATCTGACAATTAAGATAAATATATTGAGGTTTATACTTACTGCCTAATACATATTTTAATATATAATAAATATAAATTAATAAAATTTAAAATCAAATTTAACGATTGAAAATAAATATATTAACAGCTCGTACTTACTATCTAATAAATTAATAATAAAATGTTATTTAGCAGGTTTTAATGTAGCAATAGCGAATAAATATATTTAAACTTTATACACACAGTCTAATAATATAATAATCAAATATTAATAAATAATAAGCATTATAATCAATTATTAACAATAAATATACTTACTATCTAATTATTTAATATTGAAAATACTAAATTGATAAGTTTTGAAAATTATTTAACGATTAAAATCAACGTATTAAATATTTATACTCACAGGCTAATAATTTAATTTAAGAAAAATAATAATTTGTAAAAATTATAATTTAACTAAATAAAAAGTATATAAAAATTATACCTACAGTCTAATAATTTAATCGTAAAAATATTAATTAATGGTTTTAGTAATTATAATTTAAGGCAATTTCTATTGTACACTACGCATATACATGGGTAATATAGAATGCAAATTAAAATACAAGATCGGGTGTAATATAATATTATAATAAAATATTGTTGATTATTAACAAATTATATTTAAAGCTCGATAATAAATTACTTTCTAAATTTAACAAAATTGCTTATAAATCTTATTATAAATTATATACTAATATTAAGCAAATTTTAGTTTGCAATTATTTATTACCCATGTATACACACATAATTTAAAGTTTATACTTACATTTACATTCTAATAAAATTGATATAAGATAAAGTATTAGTAAATTATAAAAGTTAATAAATAAATTAAATTTATACATACCAGCTGATAATAAAATAATAGTATATTAATAAACTTTCATCTTTTAAACAATAAATCTTGTAAACTTTATACTTGCAACCTGATATTTTAAGATACAATATAAGCATGTAAAGATAATTAAAAGATGGGCTACTAATTTATAAAAACCACTTTGCTGATAATCATTTTCTTGTATAGCTTTATTTGTCATATCCGAAGTAGCTACTTAACTGGAGTTGTTACTAGATATAAAATAACACCTGACTAAAATTACTACTTAATGCAGATGTATAAAATGGCAACTCCAGATAGGTGACTACTTGGATACAATATATTCACGTTGTTAGTGAATCTTATCAATGAAATATCAGAAAAGTGAACTTCAGGAATAGTTCGCAAATAAATTAAAGAATAGATTGATCGAATGCCACACGGTACTTACAATCTAATAATTGATCCAAAGACGTTCATTTATAAGTTATAAACATTGAAAAGGACTAAGAATAGGATTATAGAGAAATATACTTACTGGCTAGTAATTAAAATATAGATGTATAAGTGAAAAGTTGGTTCTATAATAAAAAAAAAAAAAAGAACAATCCAAAAACTTACGACCTGAAATAATATTAAATAAAATTAAAAAAAATGAATTATAATAAAATTGACGGTTGTAACTAAGCATAAATTTACACAAGTCTCAGAAACCCTATCAGTTCTACATTATAATTTTCGTGTCAAGCGTTTTATACTTACATCCTTTTTAATATAATTGTTAGGATATGCAAAATTGAGTACCAATAAGCAATAATAATCAAAGCAAATTGTGATAAATTGACTATAAAACTAAATATTACTAACTTCCTAATAATTTAAATAGAATATATTATAATTTAATTATAATTATATATAGTTCATCACAGTGGATCATTAAAATAGGCTTATACTACCTCTTAAATTCGTAGCAGAGAATCTAATTAAAGTCGTAGAAGTATTGTTTCCGCTTAAAGTTACAGCACGGAAATTGTTTCTACTTAAAATTGAACTAGATATATTGTTGCGATAGATATGGTCTTCACTTAAATTTGCATTATCTTCATTCGAAGTTGTATCGGAGACATTATCTTCGCTTAAAGTTTCAGCGGAAATGTTGTCTTCATTTAGAGTTGAGGAGGAAAAATTGTCCTCACTTAAATTTGCAGTATTTCTTTGTGGAAATACGTTGTAAGAAACTCCGCGAGGAGGTAAAAAAGAGAAGAAATTTTAGACAAAATACACCTCCCACATATCTCTTATTGGTCCGTCAAAAGAGCTACGAGAGAAAAGACGGGCTATTTGAGGTAACGCTGCCAAGCGAACATCAAAGAACTCGGGAAGACAGCCGTTTGTTTGTAAAAACAGCATGTTTCCCGAGGGTTGCTAGTTACGCGAAGGTAAACCAGCAAACAGTACAAAGACTGTATTGTTTACATTCTGAGAAAATCCGTGTTTTTAATATTAGATCAGAACAAATTCATCTTATTGGTTGATTTTTTTAAAGATCTACCCGTGATAATTTGCATACTTTTTAAAAAATTTATTAATACAAAGAAGCTTATAAGTTAATGAATATACAAAAATATACAAAAGAATTAATTAATCTCATATACACAAAGGATGGATATAACATAAAGTGGATAAAAGTGATAGTATTTATTAATATAGCCAAACTTATTAATATACAAAGATATTACGATTGGATTTATTACGATTGACAGACGCAAACACACGTTGCAAGAACAGAGTATATTCAAGTATTAAACCCGGATTTGCTCCAAACTAATAATCAATACCGTATTTTGCAAAATAATAAGGATGTAATTTCGAATTTTGGGCTAAATTATACGGTAATGAAAATTTATTTAAATCTAATAAGGCAGTTACCCAATTCTACAGTATAATTTGATATGGTTTAATAAATGATAAAGTTTTTCAGATGTTTGATCTTTTTTGCACAATGAACGTTAACACTTCGTTGAAGATATAAACGATGCCTGTTTCAATTTTTTGATTAGTAAAACGTTGCGTTTTTAAAAGTACTTTAAAAGTATGTATATATAAGTTACCCGAGCAATCTATTTACTGTACACTACCTAATCAAAAGAATTTCTTTCTATGAAACCTTTTACTACTAAAAAGCTTGTACCTATTTCAAATTTTAGGTCTAAAATAATAAAGCAGTCTTAGACGAAAACACTTCGGTTAACTTCACTTTACAAGATCCAATATTTTGTCTTTTAAGCAAATCCCGTCAGGAGTGAGGTCTTTTGAAATCCTTGCGCATAATGAATGTTGATAATAAATATTAAAATATCAACAGTGCTCTAAAGCTACAGATGGTCTTTGCGACGAACTTTTGTTGGTGAAAGATTTTGAGCTTTAAAATATATAAACAAGTTACTCTTGCCCAGACAATTGATTTGCACCCGCCAATCAAATATCTTATAAGGAAATGTTTTCATATATTGATAGCGCGTCCATAACAGGCAACCAATAAAAGATGGATTTTAAAAGCCGTTGTGAATACTTTCGTTATCATATCGCCGTACGTACGTACCAGTACACAAATCAGATATCATATATATGAGCTTATTTGGAATAATGAATAAACTTTATTATATATTCAGCGAAGAAAATTCTTTACTCGCCTCCTTATATATTTTTAATAAGTATACGCGCTTTTTCGTGTTTGTTTTCTTGCTCTACTCACTTATATTCTCGTGAAAAGTGTCTCAACCCGGTAAGGTATTTAGTATTTATAGACTTCACGCATATTGTAAACGCGAAACCGTTAAATATTACATTAGGGTGTGCAACGGCCTATTAAAATCATATAGTTAGGGTTACTAATGATCATCACTAATTGCGGATTTTCTAATGGGAATTTTTGGGTTTATCTCAGAATCCTGATACTTAAAATTC